TTCTTTTCTTTCTTTCTTTCTTTCTTTCTTTCTTTCTTTCTTTCTTTCTTTCTTTCTTTCTTTCTTTCTTTCTTTCTTTCTTTTTTGACCTTATATTTTAACCTTTTGGAAATTAAATAACATTTATTTTTAAAAAATGGATTGATGACCTGATTACACTTGCCACCTATGAACGGATTGCCTATAGACGTAGACTTTGTATGGACAAATATAATGAAATATGGAACTCATTTATACAAAATATAGTAGATTAAAGACGACTGATAGTTATACAAATAGATTAGAAGTACATATAGACGATGCTGAAGGCTGATGTTTTTCTTTGCAGCATGCCAGCTGCACATTTTTATTTTGATTGTTTTAATGGAAACAGGTCAGATTAAAAGCTGGTAGTATCTGTGGTTATTTTGGACCCCCTGAACTTTATATTGGAGGCACTAGAGTTAAGGTGATACTTACATTTCCACAATATTCTCTGGTAGGTTGGCTGGAAGTTCAGTTAAGCCCTTTCCCCGACAGTCCACAATATTATTACTACAAGTGCAAGCAGATGGGCAGCTGATGGAATTGGCATTGCAGGATGGTGGTTCAGCATGTGAACCTGAGAAGGAAAAGAAAGCATAATACAGAAGATATTTGATTAGATAATTTGGACACAAGATAAAAATGTGATATTTATATTTCATCTGGAAATGAACTAGAATCCAATGCGGCTTATACTAACTGAAGTTTACAGACTAAATACAAAGGTAGCCTCACACAGACTCACATAGACAGACTTGGAGGAACTAGCATATGCATCAGTGTCTTAGTCATTTTAAGCCATAGCTCCTGAATGAATGCTTCCACCTTTACCTGGAAATACTATTCAGAAATAGAATCTGAGGGTCATTGGGATACCGATAATATCCAGCTCCAAATTTTCTTTTAAATACAATCTGTGTTATGACTTTAGTTTCAAGTTAGAACGTTCCTGTATCCTATTTCTTAATTTATGTTTTAACATATTTAGACACTACCTAAGACAATCATATTTCTAAGTAATACATATTTATAATAAAAATACAACCACACATAAAATAAGCACACATATTAAACTTTCTTACAAGGTTTTTTTATCTACCTGTTTGTCAAAGCATTTGCTTATTGCTGGGTCACATTTTTTTTTTTCTGTATTGAGAATAAGTACTTTTGTGTATAGCATTTTAGCTTTTTAATACTAAGGCAATGCTGATTTTCATATCACATTCAGGAAATCTCTCCCCCACACAAACCTATCATTTACCCAAAATATGCATATATTAATGGAAGATATATCACTTATGTTGAAAAAATTAAAATGCATTGAAAAACAAAAGTTTGATGTATCATTAACAGGTATCACTGAATAATACTCTGAAAAAGAGCAATAATACTCTGGATCAGGAAATACATTTTGATATACATACGTGATTATGAATGCCATCAACTGAAATACAGCCTCAATTCCCTAAAGACACAAAACCTGAAATTTCTACAACCTTGCCTTATATATCAACAGTCTATTTGTCTCTTGATAAAAAGAAGAGAATTATTGGGAACTTTTTACTGTATGTTTCTGAAATGCCAAAGTTTCTACTGAGAATTCACGGTCTTGACACTTGAGATATTGTTAGCAAAAGCATGATTGAAAAAAATGGTCATCTCTTTTGATCTTTCAACATGTCTTAGAATGTATTGGAAAAGAAATGGATGCAGGCACAGAAGTATGAGCAATTCCAGTGCATCAGTTATTAAAAAGGTTTACTTAACAAAGAATGTTAAAAGGAGAGAACTGCTAGAGAGAAGTTCTGTGGTCATCAATTTTTTTTGTAGTTCCTGGAAATATCAGAATCCTGTACACTTTGTATACTTTGTACATCCTTGTGTAACATGAAATTCTTCATATCTGCATAGTAAACTAGTCCTGAACTTCAGCATGATTTCAAAAGCAGTTTAAAATAATTTAAATATCACAGCTGGTGGGTGGGGAGGATTATATTCTTCCTTCTTTCTTTTGTCACAATATGTATTCACTGTGCATTAAATTGATTATCAGAACTTTATATATATTTGTTAATTTATTCCATTTGTATGCAGGTCAGATATAAAGCTCAGAAGGCATTCTCCTGAAAAATACAATTATACTATTTGCTAATTAGCCTTTCGCATTAATATGATCTGAGTACACTTGGGGGAAAAAACAACAACAACCTAAGTATAGAATCATTAACACAGTCCAACAGTTCAGAAAGCCCAAGAACAAATCACAGTAATTTAAAATATTATTACTCTATTTAACTGGGGAGTGACTGAATTGGAATTGGCAGAGAGTGACATTTAAAAGAATCAACATTAGAGTACAGGTAGTCCCCAGGTTAAGAATGCCCAGTTTATGAACGGCCCATAGTTAAGAATGGCACCTACTGTAACAAAATTTGAGTTAAATACACAATGATTCAAGTTAAATAGGCAATGGTTTAAGTTAATTACACAATGCTACTTACACTGTCCCAGCTTATATACAAATTCATTTTAAGGTCAGACTTTGGGAATGGAACTCATTCTTAAACTTCACATGTTAATGTGAAGACCAGTACAAAATGAGAGAAGAAAGTGAAATAATAAGGTATTACCTGCACAGACATATTCTTTTTTCAGAACATCAGCTACGTTGAATCCTCTCAGATGAACAGGTGCCATGCAGAAGGTGAATTGTCCAACCGATCGCCTCTGACGCAGCCAATCCGAAAGCCAGGCCAGGTGGCAGTCACAGTATAAATAATTGGAATGAAGCCGCCTACAAAAGGATAGAGCAGGATGAAGGTCAGGCCTGCATTCCTCCTTATGAAGAAGTGAGACAATGCCATTAAGAGCTTTTAAAAAAATTAATCATGCTATGTTTTGGACTGCTTTTGTGAATCAAAAAATTGGCTATAGACCATCTGGAAAGTGTAAATATACCGTATGGCACAAAGCAAAGTTTATGTATTCCTTATGACTGAACTTTGATAACAAGGGTTTTTTTTTTTTTTCTTCCTTGGTTAAAAAAGAAATTAATGGGTGAATCAAGGCAGCAAAAATAAGTTCTTAAAAGGTGACAAAGATGTTCTCCTTGTAGTGAAATGAGAAGTGGAGGCAAACTTTTGGATTCCCCCTTTGCCTTGCACTCTTTATCCAACCCCTGGATCTGTTCTTAGAGGCCTTGGGACCTTTTGAATCCGTATGGGAAGCGTGCAAAGGGTTGCACAGAAATTGTCCAAAATATCCTTTCCTCCTTGTCATTAACCACTGGACACCAACTAAATGCCACCCAGATTGAATAAGTCACTTCCTTTTTGTATGCAAATGAAACAGTACCAATACTGTATACTTGCCTCATAGAATTAAACAGGAACAAGGATGGCTCTTATGTTTTAACAACTCCCTACTTACAGAATATAAATGACATTTTGATATTTTAGCCCTTTTGTCTTGTAAAGTTGCACTCCTTTTGTCACATTATCTAGAAAAAAGTTCTGTCAGAAAAAACGAAGTAGCCTGAAAGTGCAAATAAACTATCAAATATTTCATCTCTTCTCTATGAGTCATGACAGGCAGGCATTAAAAGCACAGTTCCCATGACAATGCTGCCATTTCTGTTGGACAGGGTTAAACAAAGCCATCATTCTGACAGACTAACATTACATAGAACACTGACAAATATAAAGTGCTGTAAAACACAGCCTGATCCATCCACAAAATAAATTAATCATTTCAAAAATCTTTATGCTAGGCAGTTGCCATTGAGTTCAGCCGTGGTGCCTAAACTGACAGTCCCTAGATTTGTATGTTTGCTGATGGCCTGCAGGCATATTTTTTTTCTGGGAAGTTTCCAAAATTTATGTCCTTGCTAGGCTCAATAAACTTGAGTCTCCTGACTGGCAGGGCAAAGTATGCCAGTTATCTGGGCTATAAAAAAAATGAAGTTAGAATTTTCTATATCTCTTCACTGTCATCTAGTGGTTGTCCATATTACTGAAGCTCAGACATAGTACTCCCACTATAAAAAGCATACATATCTCTTTATCAAAGACTAGACAAGGTCTAGAGAGAACGGGAAAAGACTAGTCCATGACATTCCCATCAAACATAAAGTTTTAAAAAATATTTAATAGCTACTGAACCAATTAATGGTGCAAGCCTATGAATATTTATTTGCAATAAGTCTGCTTAAAATAATGGGATTTATTACTCAGACCACAGTTATTATATTTGTCAATTACAGAACACTGAACACATTTATCATAAACCTGGCACTTCTCTAGATGTCTCAAAGTAGTTCAACATTTTAAAATTTTACTATTTTTATTTTTCTGTCCTAGGTGCCCAGGCTGAATTTTGGGTTTTAAGCTATAGCTATATTATTTCTGCTGGAATTCTACAGCGTACTGAGTGAATTCAGAAATTTTCCCTTGAGAGAAGCCAGTGGAAAACAATCTCTCAGGCTTTAACCATCTTATGGAAATATAAGACTATAGCAAGCAGCAACTGGAAAAGAAGTTTCCTGTACATTGGACGTGTACTTGAATTGTTTGGGTTTCTTTTAATCATCACAAGAACACAAACAAATATCTCTGCAGACATTCATTGTTGTAAGTACAACAGGGAAGTCAATATCAAGAAAATGAGGCAAAGTGAATGCAGGTTAATAAATTCTATAAATATAGCCTTCTCATGAAACTGAAAGCAGAGCAATACACACCAATTCTTATTAGTTCTAAATGAGGATTTTTAAACAAATCCATAAAACAGAACAAAAGAAAATGAATTAGAAAAGCCATAGAATAATAGATTAATCATAGCAAGACGTATGTACAGTATTAAGTGCTACAATGTTATTGTACGGTTTTTCTTAATTTCAAGTCAGCTTGAATTTAAACAAAGTATTCAATCTTCCAGCCGTAATTATTTATTTCTTGAAACCTGAAAAGGTTGAAATTCACAGTAAAGGGTGACATTAAATGGAAATATTATTAGCCAAATGTTTTTGTTTGTTAATTTTTGTTTTGGTCTGATGACCATTGAAATCAGTAACAAAATAAATGAAACATAAAATGAAAAATCTAACCTTTTTATTATCATTCAGGTCCTACAATTTTCATTAAGAGCAAGATTGCTTAGAAGCTTCACAAATTATTGGCAGAACACATGTATTCAAAGATCCCACTTAAAACGAATGTAAGTGTATTTATAGCACACAAAAGATGAATGAATATACTTTTTAATTTTTAAAGATATACATTTAGTTACAGCCTACATTATATTTTCAGAATATTCTTTTGGGTCAGCGTTCACATTTTATAAAATGTAATTGTTAAAATTCAATATAAAAACTTTCTTTGAAATCCCATTTATGATTTCTTTCCTTGTTTTCTCCTTTAATTACAGCAAAAGGGAATGTCAATATAAGTCTCCAAGGAAATACATACAAAGCCATCTTTTAAATTAAACTAAAAGGAAAATGGCAGAAGACCTTTCAGTCAGCTTATCACATAGATTGATCGATTTGAAATAGCTAAGATACAAGCTTAGGATGTTTCCATGAAAATTCACAAAAATATAAACATCTTTTGATTAATAAAAGATCATATGGTGCCAATATCTGTCCTCCAATTTCCTGAAAGTTTTCTCCTCTGGAAAAAGAGAATTTTGTTTTTTTCCTATCTCCTTCTAAGTCTGTGTTGACATTTCTTTTTAATTTTTTTTTGGGGGGGGTGTTGTAGAACTTAATTTATTTCTATAAGGGAGGTGGGGTGGAGTGCTATCACCTCTGCTTCTCAACCTGACAAAACCCAGTGAGAACAATTCTCTCTGGATAGCTTTCCCGTGGGATTTAATTCAAGTATGGGCATCCAGGGGCTCTGTAGATCACTGTCTCATTGTAAAATGGAAGGCAGGACATCTCTCTCTCTGCCATCTAGTATTTAGCGTAAATTCAAAAATCTCTCATCCACCTATGAGAGTTTCACTGTATTTTTTCCCTTTCGGCATAGTGCTAATTAATTCATACAACTCTAAACCCATAATCAAAGTCAGAGACTACAATTATGGAGAATAAGAGCCAATGATATCTCACATATATTACTAATACTACTATATCTACAAGAAGATTAGACCTGTACAATTTGTAATACACTAAACTGGAAAATCCATTAGCAAAAATATGCATCCTGTGTTGTAATATTTTTGCTTTTTTTGCCCTTAGGGACAGGCTACAAAAAGCAGCCCCTTATTGATCTCTTAGTGGACTGAAGTATGTGCCAACAGATCGTATTCAACGTCAGGCTTCACAAACCTGTAGTAGAAGAATTCATAGTTAAATGTGTTGGGAAGAAATAGGCTAAAACTATGGTTGCTGATAATATGTGACTGAACTACAGAGGAGATTTTCATGCTTTTAAAATTAAAGGGCACCAGTGTTTAATTCCAAATATAATTTACAAGCAATAAAAATGAAAGGCATTCAGATATGAAACATGAATGTATTCAAAGGAATAAGAAAATGGCTTTCCTCTGGAGGGAATCCTGGCCTCTTCTACTGTATGTATGTTCAAACAGTGGAGGGAACCCTCAAAGCAGCCATGCCATATCTCTGAAGGAGAAGATACTTAGAACAAAAGGTCCAAAAGTGCCTCATTTGTTTCACAAAGCACCCTTCCAAATAGTTTGTGCAGACCTAGTTATTCTCAGCTTTGTGCTCAGTATTCGTGTTGGGATAAGTTGCAGAATTAGTCTGTATGGCTAACAAGGATATCTGGAAGTTATGCATCTGGTGGGTGCCAGGTTAAGAAAGATTCAATTTTTCTGAGTACTGATAGGTCAGTATTTCTTTGTTTAGTATGAATTCTACCTGATTTTCCCAGAGAATCACATTAAGCCACAATGCGGTTTCTTTGGTTTGTGCTTAATGCTATTGGTAAAGCAGCCCACAATTCATTACACTTCAAATAAACCATGTCTTTCTGAAGTGTGGACCTAGCCAATCCAACAACAATAAGAGCAATAACAACAAATACAGATTTAAGTGTTGATTCATCTTATCTTTTCTTATCATACTTATCTATGAATTCCCCATACTCCATCATCAACATGGCAATAATATTGATCTATCTTACAGCTATTTTTGTTTATTTAGTGCCTTCAATTCAGTGTGGACTATTGCCCAGACTACTCCCTGCAGTTTTCTTGGCAAGATTTTCAGAAGGGGTTTGCCACTGTTTGCTTCATAGCGCTGAGTGTGTGTGATTGGCCCAAGGCCACCTAGCTGGTTTTCTACCTAAGGTGGGACTAGAACTCACGGTTTCCCAGTTTCTAATCAGGTGCCTTACCCATTCCAGCAAACTGGCTTCCATATTATGGCTACAGCTAGCTACATATAAAGATTGTAAAGGCGGCTGAAAATAATGCAGTGCCTGTTAGCATTGAAAACCCTGTGGCTGGGATCTCAACTTTCCTGGAAGATTAATCTTTTGAGCAGAGTTCCTCTCAGGGGATACTGCCAGCAAAAAAAGAAGGAAGGCAGAAAATTTCATCAATCCTTACCTTGCAGCCTTCTGCACTATCTGAAACTCCTCTTTGAAGGTTTGAGAGGCTCCATATCATATCTGGGCTGCAAAAATCCATGCAACCATTAGATAGTAGCAAAAAGCTAGTTTTTTCCTGTATCTCTTTGCTGTGATTTTGTGGTTGTGCAGATTTTTGAAGCCAAGATATAGTCCTACTTTCTGGAACAGTGCTGGAAGACCTGAAGGAGGAAAAGGATGCACAATAATTGCCTTTCCCCCTTCTGCTGTTTTTACAACCCTTTCACCTAATTTGTTCAGTGTGGCTTCTTCCAAACAAGAGTTCAACTGATGAAAACACTGGACTTATACAAAACAGCACATATCTATATACTGAGCCCTCTACATTCTGACATGACATCTTGGCTTCTCTGGAAAAAAGAAAATGTTGAGTGACATCTAGCTAAAATGGTAGATCCAGTTCTCTCCCATTGATCTCTCCCACCTCCAGTTAGGCTGCTTCATGCAATCTGATGCTGAAATAAAGGAGAAACAAAAGAAGGACACTTTTCTTAGAAGCGGCTGTTACACTGCCTTTGTTTTAATCAATCAATCAAGACACAAAGACTACAGTGCCCATGTATGTCAGTCGAAGCCCTGAGTGATTCACCACAGAGTACTTACAGGGTCCTGATCTTTGGCATATGGTTGAAGCTGGTGAGAGGGATGCGTGAGATGTTGTTGTTATTGAGGGTACTATAAAGAAAGGAAAACAAACACAGATGGCATCAGTATTTTGATAGTGCTATTTATGGAATCAGCCATAAACTGTTAAAAGAAAGCCACATATGAACAACTGAAGCAGATTTAGAAAGGCATTTCTCTTGTAAATAACAATAACTACATACAGATACGTGCAACAAAAAAGCTCAGAATATCTCAAGCACAACATCCAAAGACTAACCTTTGATTAAAATGAAATACTCTTCATTTGGAAGCGTGAGAGTGACTGTAATGTGTGGGATGCAAATTCAATGTACTACTACTCACAAAAATGAATTGTAAAGAAGGAAAACAGAATCAGTATATATTCTCTCTATATACTAAACTTATGACCAAAGGAGACATAATTTGAGAATTTCCCCCATCCCCACTTCTGTACTCAGTTTCTAGTTATAAGCAAATTATTTGCCTTCCTTTATTGGAGTCTGTATGTTTTGGAATATCAGTTGCTGAAGAACACAAGCAGGAGGGTTGCATTGTGCTCATGATTTGCAAGTGGACTTTTCAAAGGCATCTGGTCGACCACTGTGGACAGTATTCTGGACAAAGATCATTAGCCTGAATAAACAGCACTCTTGTTATATTCTTATGAATACTGACTACTGTAATAACAAATCAGAAAAGCCAAGTGGAGTAGGCTAGTATTTGAACAGAAACATTATAATTAAGACACAAATTATATAGTTATCCTTGTGTAAAGGCTAAAGGTGTGCTACTGTGGTTCCAATTAGGAGAAGTCTATCCTCATATAATTTGCATTGCCAACAAATGTTCAGTTTGTGGCCCTGGAACATCAATTTTCTTCCAAGAGTAACCAGCAAAACCATAAGTATGAGAAGTTTGTTCCAGTATCCAAGATATAATATTTAGGGGCAGACTACATCTGAATAGGAGATTCTGTCTGAAAGTTGGTATGAAACTAACTTTCATACCAAGTATAGTTCAACAGCATGCTGGGAGAATGTAATGTATGAGAATAATTATGTGCACTGTAATACGTAGACTTCGTATTTAGGAAAACACTATAGGAAAATAATTAAGGCCAACTATCAACTGAAGACTTGTTCTGTGCTGAACCCCAAATTAACTAATTACGATACCCTATATTAATTAACTCTAAAGTGGAAATCTCTAAAACAAGAGATTTCCACTCCAATCACATTTATTTAATAAGTTTCCTGGTAGTGGTAAGCTGAAAAGGGGGGAATTTTATCCTAAACACCATGTTTGTAAATGAGTATGAAAGTGTCAGCAAGCTGGGCAACACAGTAGAAATGTTCCTATATTAATTCAATCGCATATAGTTGATTAGTGGAAGCAGAGTCATCCACTTGACATAAATGATTTAATGTTAATAGCCACCACCAAAATGTAAGTATGATTTTCGTTAATAATCCTTATTTATGACTCATATACAAGAGTTCAATGAGGTTCCAAGTTCACCCTTTAGCATTGCCAGTTATAAGGCTTTCAGATAAGTTGGGGGGGGGGGAACATGCTTGAGATATGGCAGAACCATTGGGCTAGAGAGATCCATAGTGTTTATAATTCAGTGTAAGGAAGCTTAGTATATTAATGGTTCTTCCATTCCCTTGTCAATACAGACATCTTTATTTCACCAGACTGAAATAAATTGACAGTTGAGATTGCCAGTACTAGCAATCTCAACTGATCTCAAAATAGCTAACGAAGATTAGGCCCATTATAAAACAAATACAATAAGACTTTGAAGATTTTTTTTCTTTTTTTTTTTAAAAAAATAACAATATAAAGAAGTAAATTTGAGAAAAAAAAAATAGAAGTTTTGAGCACATAGGAAAGATGACCTATACCAGAATTACATAAAGGTTTTATGAGTGCTAAATAGAACCAAAATAACTTCTATGCAACTGTAACAGAGTATTGAATAAAACAAAGGCACCCAGCACAAGGTGAAAATCCTGTTAAATTACTACCCTCCTGGCTAATGTAATATTACTGTATCTCCATTATTAAAGATGCCCAAAGTAAACTTTAGAATAATTTTGAGTCAATAAATCAATAAATTTTTATTTTTATTTTTGATTGTATAATATGCTATTATTATAAAGTAAGTACTATAAATGCAACCAAGGAAGAAATCAATCAATATTTATTTAAAGTAGATCTTTGTAAGTTTACACATGATGAAACAGCCTATTGGCTGTCCCTTTATCTTAAAAAAAAACAACCCCCCCCCCCAAAAAAAACCCCAGATAATATTAAATCAATGAAAGTGGGAAAAGTTCCTGGTCCAGATGATTATCCCATTGTGTGGTATAAGATAGAAGTCAATATGTGAGATTTTACCCCAATATTATTGGAGATCTATAATGGTGCCCTTTAAAGTTTTTCCTATCTCTTTCCATGATACGTATATAACTGTGATTATGGAGACTGGTAACAATCCTCCTAATTTTCTTGTTTGATCCCAAAGCTTTGGCAGGACCCTTTGACTCATGCCTTAGTTGCCTCCCAATTGGAGGACTGGAATGTGCTCTACATGAAGCTGCCTTGAAGACCATTCGGAATCTGCAACTGCTCAGAATGGAGCCACATGCACAATTCTGGGTGTCCCATGGTTCGCCCAAGTTACACTGCTGTTGTGTGAACTGCAACATACCATCAAGAATATCTGCCCACTCCACTAAGTCAGATAGGATGGGCACACTCCAAATCCCTTCCTTTAAATGCTGCCACCTGATGGGACCTTGGAGGCATGCCTTCTCTGTAGCTGCCCCAGCCCTTTAGAATACCTCCCACCTGAGAGTCAAGCGGCCACCATGCCAAGTATGGTTTCCTCTACTTCTCTCAACCTTGCCAAAAGTAATAAAAATATTACATTTTGATGATAAAATTACTAATTGTGAAAGATTGAAAGACAAGTATATTTATGTATAAATGCCAGTGAAAACATCAGGGCTGATTGCCAGTGAGTGAATAAACTGCCAAGATTGCTCCACTAAAAGTAATTAAAAGGAACATGACATCTTGCATGACAATTCCATTGCTCCTAGATGGATAAGGCAACATGAACAAGGCTAAGCATCCAGGGGTAATATAGTTGAATCTTACAGCTTTCTAATTATAAACATGCTACGACATTTTACAGTCCCTGATAATTGTTCTGTATCAGCAATTAATGGTCAAGAATTATATTTTTCAGCAGTGATATGAGGGAAATTGTGATATAAAGGTAACATTATTTTCATTGCCTGTATTAAATTGTGTGACAGCTGACAATACAAGAATGATATTGTGTTGAGTGAAACAGGTTTACAATGACTTTGTGTTATCATGGAAAGATCTGTTAATAATGATCACACATTCTTCCCAAGCCACAGTTGTTATGATGCAAATAGGTCTCTTTCCTCTTGAAGAAATGATACATTCCAAGTCCCTTGAGTATAAGGGATGTCTATGCATGAATAAAATATGCAAGATGGACTTTTCTTACACTGGTTTTGAACAGAAAGATATTTTATAACTCCTTCACCTCCAAAGTGTTGTGTCAGAGTTAAAGACATTTTTGTGAACATAACATAGAATCAGATTTTCTGTTACATTTGATTTCTGACACCGATTATCCCAAACAACTAATCAAATTGACAAATGATATGGTAGATTAAATTTTTGATTAGTGGTTGTTCAGCACTAATGAGCATCTAGCATAATTACCAAAGAGCTGTTATCCATTCAAGCCCCTGGATAATAAGTACTCGGACTCTTTGTGTATATGGCATTTGGCTCTACTACAACCATCAGCAAAATTTTAATCTGTAAAGAAGTCCTGAAACCCAAGTGCTAGGCAGAACAGAGATAATACACAACCTACCGATTTTTATTTCCTTTCTAATAAGCCATTTGTAAATGTGAGAATGTGTGTGTACCCACTTATTACCTGTCATATTTAGAAATGGGTCTAATGTAAACTACTGCCATTCTTTAAGGGAAAAAAAAAGTGATGGATTGTATTTGTTTTGGTTAGATGAAAGGAAACATTTCTGTACCATTTGTTAAAAGCTAACAATAATCAGTCCATTCTTTATGCTTGTGTTGATGCTGCTTTGTCTTTTGTTTAGCTTAACAGAGTGCCACATTTAACATATGTTTAAACTTAAGCAGTCAAAGGAGAACAACTTCTAACTGATTTTAATGTGATTATATTACTTGTGTGTCCACAAGTTTAAAACTTTATAACTTGCTCTGTATGCCTCTTCCCACTGACTGTGACCAAAGAAGGAACAGAATTCTTCTCTCCAATACATACTGAAAATACCTGAACACTTTTATTTGACAATTCACCCAGCTTTTATATTATAAAGGGGAATGATTTAAAATGAGTTTGACTACCTGACAGCCAATCACTGCCTTATGAGCCAAATAAATCCACAATAATAATCAGTGTAATTTTATTACATTAGAATTTAATTCCTTAAGAGGATAGGAAACAAGGGATTTCACTGCTTATAAAACTTTATTTCCTACCTACGTCACATATAGAACCTGGAGCCCCACACCGGAGTCTATATAGTTCTTCATGGAAGAGGTATGTCATGGAATTCAACCAACTCATCCAATTTTGCTAGGCCTAAATTCTAAACGTATGAGAATATGCTTCCTAAAAAATGTTTCAAAGCTGTGGAATATATTTTATCATTTATTCTTCTTTGTAATGAATCTTTAAAACAAATTGTTCTCAGTGCAATGAAACCAACGTGGCTTTGATAACTATAAAAGATTGGAATAAATCTGCTCTAGTGTAATAAATTTGAAATACAAACTGCTTCTGTATAGTTGGTAAGAAAATTTCAGAGACATATCCACGAAACTCAAAGATGTTACTTTTATCTCAATATTGTCATATTTACCTGAGAAGACGACCCTGAATTTAACTTCCCCCAAAAGAGTAAACAACAGTTATAAACAAAATATAGACAAAATCCTCACTACTG